CACACCAACAAAGAGAGAAAGAAAGAGTGAGGTTTCACAGACAAGGTATAAGAAAATAGTCTGTGAGGAAAATAGAGAGTGAGCGATATTGTAGTGAGGTGGGAATATCAAAAGAGGGTTATTTCTTTTGAGTGTTGTAGTGGTCTTTGGAGTATTTACCTCCGACCTACAAAGTGTAAAATTCCTTACTATAGTGATATCAGTTGCTCCTCTCGGGGTCGTGGTTTTTTTTCCCTTATTCAGAAGGGTTTTTCACGTAAAAATCTTGGTGTCATTGTTACTCTTTTATTCTTGTTAATTACCGTATCTCGGTGCTACATTATTATTCCGCTTTATTACCGTGAATATTATTTTGGTAAGGGGTTTATTCCCAACAGATGATAGTTGTCGTTGATTGGAAGCAATGTCCTCAGCTGCTCCAATTTGTAGAGAGGTTTCAACTTTTCAAAGTCACCATTATATCCCCCTGAATATGATAGGTGTCGACATCTTCCCACCATATCAGATCCTTTGTTATCTTCCAAATTGATGCAAAGTCTTGAAGATGTAACTTGGGCCAAATCATTGACAAGGTCATGCATTAAGAATTTCTCAGTGCCCCCTTGAAAAGAACTTGGGACCCTTTCAAACAATGATCTTGATCGCAACTCGAGAAAGTATTGGTTGCCCGAATCTTCAATTATTTTATCTTTTTGCAACCGTTGCACGAGACCATTAGCAATCCAGAGTTGAATAACTTGTTCTTTGTTGAATGGATAATCTTTGGGAAATATTGCACAATAGGAAAAGCATTGCTTCAAATGAACGGGAAGATCATTGTAGCTCAACATCAACGTGGGTAATATTCCATTGTCTGGCAGCTCCCATATTTCACTTGTCAAAATTCGTCTCCACTCTTCAATCTCTGATTTGGACCGTAACAAACCAGCAATTGTCTTTAGTGCTAAGGGCAAACCTTTGCACTTAGCTGCGATTTGTTTCCCGACTTCTACATGTCCTAGATGTTCCTTAGGATCCATGTTGTCAAATGCATGTCTTTCGAATAAAGACCAAGAGACATCACTAGACAAAGTATCCATGCTAATTTGCTCATTACCCATTGTCATGGCAACACTTTTCTTACGTGTCGTCACAATGATCTTACTTCCAATTTCTCCTTGTGCAAAAGGATTTATCAACTCAACCCACTCGAGGTAGTTGTCATTCCAAACATCATCTAAAACAATAAGAAACTTTTTCCCTTTTAAGCTTTCCTTCAATTTGATTTGAAGTTGATTAAAATTGTTATCAAGCATCAAGTTGGATGAACCAATTTCTTCAAGTAATCCTTTTGTTATCCTAGAAGCATCATATGGTTCAGACACACAGAACCAAGCTGTCAAATTGAAATGGTCTTTCACCTTCTCATTATTGTACACAGCTTTAGCAAGTGTTGTCTTGCCAACCCCTGCCATTCCAACAATAGGAATTACACTATATGTTTTTCCATCGGCATCAACAGACAATAAACTGTCAACCAAAAACTCTATTTCATTCTGCCTACCAAAGATATCAGAATCATTAACCAAAGATGTTGAAGGCACTCTAGTTTCTTGTTTACCAGAAGCAAGATATTCCTTTAGGCCAAGCCTACCAATTTGCTTTTCCAACTCCTCCAACGTTTTAGTGGTGCCTTCCAACTTCTCCTTTATGTTAACAAAAAATCCATCACTCAAGCACAAGTTGAGGCCACTTACCTGTTGGTTGCTTACTTCTGCATGATTTTGATGCTGACCTTCCACCTTAACTCTCAGAACTTCATAATTGATTTCTTCCATTAAGTTTTCAGCACTGTCCACAGCATCCCGAAGTTCATTAAGCCACTGGTTGACGTATCGATTTGATGTCTGCTTATTCTCTGCATCACTTAGCACAGCTTGAAGACCAAGCAAAGTCAGCCTCAGCTTCTTTAACAGTCCAACATCATGCTTGCCCCTTTGAAATATCTTCAGCAACTCACCCTGAGGAGCAAGCCTTTCAAAGAGAACATTCAAAGCTGAAGATAGAAATGCACCTCCAACTGCTAAGCCAATCTCCATTGCTGAAAGCTGCAAACCAAAACAAGAATATCATAAAATGATTAAGAACTTGAAGAGGTTTAATACTTAAATCTTAAAAATAGTCTTAGTTTTACCTGTTCAATGCTAAGAGTAATATGAAAAAGAATGCTCAAAGTATATGCTAGTTGTGTCCGTTCTTTAGCAAAAGTAATAACGTATGCTTCTTAGAAGACCTTATATCTCTCTTTCTTTATTTTCAAAAAGAAGACTTTAAAAAAAAAAGACAAAGACTTTATAATGGAATTAACTATTCATTGAATCAATGAGGCATGAGGGGACATGATATAAATTGCTTTGGGGTATGTGTGAGGTGTGATCATAGCATGAAATAAGTTGGATATCGGTCTTCATAGTTCAATTTGGATAGGTTTTTCTCTAAAAAGAAACCAACCCAAATAAGTTGATTTTTTAAATATTGGAACCAAATCAAATCGATTAAGTCGATTTTTTATCGATTTGATTTTTATCGGTTTTTCGATTTTTTCGGTTAATTTATTGGTTTTTTTCTTAAATATGAGACACACACTATCAAACGCATATTCCGGCGACTACATTTTCAACATAATACTATCAAACCAATTGCTCTTTGAGATATCATTTACCAAGATACATTGATGATAATTGAATCAAATAGTGATGGAAAATTTAAGTACTCAATTAAAAATCGATTATTTTTAACCTGAAATAAATTCTTTTACTTAGCAAAAGAAAAGTACCAATCAAACTAGAATGTAAAGGCAAAGAATTAGATTATTATAATAGCAAAACACTAGTCTAAAAATACAAATGACTAATATGTACCATAAAATTTTAGAAACTTTATATATATATATAATAAATTTAAATAACTACTTTAATAGTTGGTTTGGTTCGATTTTTCTGGGTTAGTTTTTAATTAACACCAAAATCAAACCAAATTTGATTGATTTTTAAAATTCAAAACCAAAATCAAACCAAACCTAAAAAGTATCAATTTTTTTTGTCTGTTTGATTCGGTTTTTTGGATTTTTATGAGCATCCCTACCTATAGAGGAGATTAGGAAAGTGTGCAGATGTTTGTCTGTCCTAATAACATACGTAATACTTAGGGATCACAACATTGCAAGTTGACTCGAGGTATTATAGTTCTAACTTGATTTATTTATTGAAAGAACGCGTAAAATACTAATTGCGTTATTGATTACAAATATAAAGCAGATAATGACATGGTTATTATTTTAATTGATAGCATTATTATTATTATTATATATAGAGTCAGAGCATGTGTACTCAGGATTAAGAAACTGCCAAATGACAATAGGTCCGCAAGTGTGGAACGAAAACGAAAGGGTGGGGTCTATCAACACCAAAATGTGGTGTATAAATAAAAACCAAAACAAAAAAGAAATTGGGTGATAAAGACAGATGAATTGACTTAATATTAATCAAATAATTGAGTTGTAGAAATTACATAATTTCCAAGTAGAAATTACTTAATTGCTCATATCACGAAAATATTTTAGAAATTGTGGAAATTTCCAAGTTCAAGCTTCTATGAGGTTGTTAATGATTTTCTTGCAATATCCTCTTTGAAGTTGTAAACAACAATAGTAGGAAAATAATTAAGGGTGGCTTTAAATTTTAATAATATAGTCTCTGTCTCTAAAAAATTTATTGTTCTTTTATATGTGGTAACTAAGTGTTATTAGTGATAGAGTTTCAGCATAACTTGGCAAAATCAATTGAAAAAGACAAGTAAATCTTGGAGTTCCTTAATATCATGTTTTAGAAATTATTAGAGCTTGAGAATAGAATAAGCAATTCTCGAGCGATTGCACCAAAAATTTGAGTTCCTTTTGAATTTTCTTCTTTATCAATAATAACTATAACATTGTCATCATATCGTACTATCATTCTTCCGCATAAGAAGGACGAGATACATTTTAAATTAGCCATACATTACTTCCAATTTCAACTATTGGGTTGAAATAGATCGATTTAATCGTATAATACTTTCAGTTTAAGATAATGAATCGAAATCTGAGCCCCACTCGTGAGAATAGGTGAAAAGCTATATCAAACATATTAATTTTCTAGATGGAGAACCACCATAAATTCTTGAGCAGTGGAGTATAAAGGATTAAAAAGTAATTTAAAAGAATCCTACAAAAGAAGAGACGGATTGCACAAAAATCATCCAAAGGTATGAGGGGTAGCAAAGTTCCTTCGGTCTTTACTAAATTAAATGTTTTAGGTACAAGTTTTAGAATGAAATCCTCTTTACTAGAAAGTGCTAAAACTTTTATACGGGGCTTTTCATAGCGTGAATACAAACTAGTCGAGCATGTGAATTTAAAACACGGCATAAATCCAGACTAATCAGGCCCGTTTAGTTTGGAGATTAATGCTTTTATCTTAAAATAGTCTTAATTTTACCAGTTCAATGCTAAAACCAATATGTATTGAACGGTGCTACTCTTATATATAACAATCATGACATAAACAATATCATAATTTTTTGTACATATATAAGTATGTATAAAGACATTATTGTCCTTACAAAAATTTTAATACACCAAACCAAATAACGGACAAGGAATAATTTCAGTATAACTAGTTCCAACATAATTAATCTCATTATTACTAATACACCATATTCGGTACTATTCTTATACACCTTATCAAACAACAACTAATTTCAAGCTTGTAATTCTTACAACTATGTTTGCTACTGTCACGACCCAAAAATCCCTCCGAATGAGTCGTGATGACACCTAGTCTCTAAATTAGGTAAGTCTAACATTAATTGAAATAATATTGATATTTACTAACTTTAAATTAAATTACTCTGAACAAATTACAATTACCAAAATCGGTGGTACAAGTCATATGTCACGACCCAGATTTCCCACCATCGCGAGTCGTGATGGCGCCTACTAATGAGAGCTAGGCAAGCCAAACCTTAACTACTTACTTCATTTTTCATATTACTTCTTTTTAACAAACATAAGGCTATAACATGATAACATCAGATCTTTAGATAATTAAGCGAACGATGACAATTAAATATCTAAAATCTGCATCTATTACAGCTTTTAAAACCTCAAACACCCAAAACCTAGTGTCACGGTGTCACAGACTATCTAAGATTACTACATACTAGGTCTGAAGAATAATAGTACATTGTTTCTGAATAAAAGAAAAATAAAACAGGAAATAGAGATAGATGGAGACGCCAGGGCCTGTGGACGCCTGCAGGTTTACCTTGGGTCTCCGGGTGGACTGAAAGAAACACTCCAACTGCTGCCCAAAAGTTGCTCTGGGATCTGCACATAGTGTAGAGTGTAGTATCAGCACAACCGACCTCATGTGCTGGTAAGTGTCTAGCTTAACCTCGGCGAAGTAGTGACGAAGTTAGGACCAAACTATCAAATAAACTTGTGCAGTTCAAATATATATACAGCGGAAAAGAAATACAGAGATAACCAATCAATATGGGGGGAGCATGCTGCGGGAAGATAACAATTCCAAGTAAAAAAATCAAGTAACGAAGGAAACAACATAACTTGGATATCAATAAAAAACCATAAATCAATAAGTGCACGACATCACCCTTCGTGCTTTTACTCTCGTCCTCACTAAAGCAATTACATAATAAAATGTGCACGGTATCACCCTTAGTGCTTTTACTCTCTTTCCTCACCATACAATCAATAGAATCGGAACGGAATGGTACATCGTGCAGCATGGCATCACCCTCCGTGCTTTATACTCTTTCCTCACAATCATACACGACATCACTCTTCGTGCTTTAACACTCTTCCTCACCCAAACAACAATCACAAACAATGGGGAGAGGGGATAAACAAGATTATAATAGAAATCCCAGCAAGGGAACAACAATTAAATCCCGACAAGGGAACAATATCAATAATATCAACATCCTGGCGAGGGAGATAACCAAATAAGCAACAATATCCCGGCAAGGGAACAATTTAATAACTCTTTCTCTTTTTTCAATTTTACTTCACAATTCACTTTACCACTTGAGTCAATGCTCCAAAGGAATCAGGATTTGACGGTTCCAATAGGTTCGTATAATGATTTCGGACTTGGGCGTATGTTCGGATTGGGTTTTGGATGACCCGGGAGTGTTTTGGCGCCTAATAATAGAAGTTGGTTCTTGAAGAACTTTGAAGTTTTTTAAATTTGGTTTAAACCGGATTTTAGTGATATCGAGGTCTAAACAGAATTCTAAGACCGGAAATAGTTCCATAATGTCATTTAAGACCTGCACGCAAAATTTGGTGTCATTCCGAGTAGTATAAATATGCTTCGTCACATTGGAAGTACATTGAAGATTTGAAGTTCTTAAGTTTGATTCAATTGATTTTATGGTATGATTCTTAGTTTTTATGTTGTTTCAGGCATTCCAAGAGTTTAAGCAAGTCCGTTTTATGATTCCGAACTTGTTGATACATTCAGGCGAGCCCCCGAGCGTCAATCGGACGAGGCCTAGACCAAGTTGAAAGTTTGGAGCAAGAGCTGAAGCTCCAGCTGCTGTCATAACCGCATGTGCAACCGCAGGTGCGATCTAATCGTTTAGACACTATCTTTAAAACATTTTATCCATTGTATGTTGTAGCTAAGTGTTATTACTGACAGAATTTACAGATTAATTTCACAAAATCAATTGAAAGAGACAGCTAAATCTTGGAATTCCTTAATATCATGTTTTAGAAAGTATTAGAGCTTGAGAATAGAAGAAGCATATTAGCAGTTCTAGTATGAGCTTTTTGCAGATAAGGATTAAATAACCTTAGGTGTCTTAAACATATATTACTTTATCTTGAAATAATCTTTGCACAAAATATTATTTTACGTATTAATTTTTAGATAATATAAAGAAGTATGGTATACTAATTGTGTGTTATAGGCAGAATTACATTGCGGGGCGCTCCAAAACATAATTTTACCCACATTAGATCCTCCAAAAATTAATCAAGTACTACTTTTGGAGGATCCGACATGCACCTAGCGACATTTTCGAAGAGTCCGATCAACATAATAAGACATTATCTCTTCTATAGACTATATCCCATCTTTCATTACTATTACGACGTTTGTTTTGCCTTATATAGTTGGCTATCTTAGAAAGAGAAGGACATGAGTAACATTTTTATTTTCTACTCTTTTTCATTATTTTTCTTTTTCTCTTTAAGTATCTTTGTTTCATACGGAAAATGTTAAATATATATATATATATATATATTTTCTTACGATTTAACATATGTTTGAATAGTGTAAACATTAACGGAAAAAGAAATTACAAATGAAGTTATAGTAAGATTTAGGAGAATAAAGTGAGAAATGATAGGATGTGACCAATGTTTTTCGATTATTTAAAAGTTAGAGTATTTTTTTTTTTTTACAAAAAGTTCCTACCAATTTAGGAGGATCTATAGTATTTCCACACTTCCCCTCTAGCGTGACTCGAACCAAGGACTTAACGGTCATGGGTAGAGGTGCTTACCAACTGAGAAACCTCACTTGTCAAAGTGAGAGTATTTTGATTGACGTGATTACTGGGAGAATTAATCCTCATCTTACAATTTGGAAAGTTTTATTCTGCGTGAGACACAACTACCCAACAAAAAAAAGTTAGCATGAGATTCCTTCCATATTTTTTCCAAGTGGATTTTGGGTCTCACTTTTCCGCAAAAGAATTGGCCAAAGAGCTTAGCCCTTTCGTTTCCAATTTTTAGATGATATAATGAAGTAAGGTATACTAATTGTGTGTCATAGGTAGAATTTACGTTGCGTGGACGCTCCAAAATATTATTTTACCCACATTGGATCCTCCAAAAATTAATCCACTACTTTTGGAGTATCCGAAATGCACACAACGATATTTTCAAAGAGTTCAAGTAACAAAGTAAAACATTTTGTCTTATGTAGACTATATCCAATTATTCATTACTATTACGTCGTTTGTTTTGCCTTGTATAGTTGGCTATCTTAGAAAGAGAAAAGGACGAGTGTAATATTTTGTTTTCTACTCTTTTTCAATCTTTTCTTTTTCTCTTTAAGCATCTCCGTTTAATACTGAAAAGGTTAAAAAAATACATTTTCTTAAGATTTAACATATTTTTGAATAGTGAATACATTAAGGGAAAAAGAAATTACAAATAAAGTTATAGTAAGAGTTAGAAGAATAAAGTGAATGACAGGATGCGCCCAATGTTTTCCGAATGAAAAGTGAGAGTACTTTTTTTTTTTTTTTTACAAAAAATCTCTCCCAAGTTAGGAGGATCTATATTTTTCCACACTTCTCCTCCAGCGTGACCTTAACCCAGGACCTAATGGTCGTAGATAAAGGTGCTTTACCAACTGAGTGAGAGTATTTTGATTGACGTGATTACTATGATAATCAATCCTCATCTTACAATTTGAAAAGATCTATTCCGCGTGAGACGCAACTAAACTTAGCATGAGATTCCTCTCGTATTTTTGCCAAGTGGATTTTGAGTCTCACTTTTCAGCAAAGGAATTGGTCTACGAGCCTAGCCATTTCCTTTCCAGTTTTTATATAATATAAAGAAGTAGATATACTAATTGTGTGTTATTGGGAGAATTTACGTTGCGGGGATATTCCAAAATATTATTTTACCTATATTGGATCCTCCAAAAATTAATCCACTATTTTTGGAGGATCCGACATGCACTTAACGATATTTTCGAAGAGTCTGAGCAACATAGTAAAAAAATTTCTCTTATGTAGACTATACCTGATCATTCATTACTATTACGAAGTTTATTTTGCCTTGTATAGTTGGCTATCATAGAGAGACAAAAGGACTACAGTAATATTTTTTATTTTCTACTCTTTTTCAATCTTTTACCTTTTCATTTTAAGCATCTCCGTGTCATACTAAAAAGGTTTAAAAAAATAATATTTTCTTAGTAACATATTTTTGAATGGTGAAAACATTAAGAGGAAAAAGAAATTACGAATAAAGTTATGGTAAGAGTTAGGAGAATAAAGTGAGAAATGATAGGTTGTGCCCAATATTTTTTGAATATTTAAAAGTGAGAGTACTTTGATTGACGTGAAATAATTGAAATATATCTGCTTAGAAAAATACAGTTAAAGACTCGAAAAGGAACTTAAAATTACAAAGGAGAAAGAGCAACGCAAAACAAAACTCACAAAGAATTAATGCAGTAAAACCTGATAGTGCCAGAGGAGATCAGCAGAGAAGATGAACCAAGGAGAAGAGAAATTTGAGAAAACTGTGAAATTTGAGTCCAATATTTTTCGAATATTTAAAAGTGAGAGTAGTTTGATTGACGTGATTACTGTGAGAATCAATCCTCATCTTACAATTTGAAAAGTTTTATTCCGCGTGAGACGCAACTAAACTTAGCATGAGATTCCTCTCAACCGAAACTCAAACTCTAAATTTTGTGAATATCCCTTTTCCAAAAACAAGACTTCATAATTGAGGTAAAAGATTTTCATGCAATATTCCCTTTGAAGATGTAAATAATGGTAGGAAAATAATTAATGGTGGCTTTAAATACTAATCGTTTAGTCACTATCTTTAAAACAAATTATCCATTGCATGTTGTATCTAAGTGATAATTATTAATGACAGAATTTCAGATTAATATGACAAAATTAATTGAAAGAGACAGCTAAATCTTGGAATTCATTAATATCATGTTTTAGAAAGTATTAGAGCTTGAGAACAGAAGGAGCACATTAGCAGTTCTAGTATGAACTTTTTTGCAGATAAGGATTAAATAACCTTAGGGGTCTTAAACAAATATTAATTTATCTTGAAATAATCTTTAAAGAACATATTATTTTTACGTATTAATTTTTAGGTAATATAAAGAAGTATAGTACACTAATTGTGTGTTAATAAGGAGAATTTACGTTTGGGTTGGGGGGAGGGGGGGGGGGGGC